CCTCACAAAAACTGACTTAGGATGTCACAGCATCAGTAAACTCATCCAGGTTGTTGGTAGTTGTCCTGAACACATCCCAGTCAGTGCAGTCCAAACATGTCTGAAGGTCCTGTACAGCTTCTCTGGTCCACTGCTTAGATGTCCTCACTACAGGTTTACAGAGCTTTAATTTTCACCTGTATGCAGGAATCAGGTGGACCATGACGTGGACAGAGTGTTCCAGTGCGGTGCGGGGGACAGCGTGAATGGCACTGCTTATTGTGGTGTAACAGTGATCCAAAATGTTCTCCTCTCTGGTTAGATACTTTATAAACTGTCTGTATTTGGGGAGTTCTTGGGTGAAGTTTCCCCTGTTAAAGTCACTGAGAAAAATAACAAGGGAGTCTGGGTGTGTCTGCTCCACACATAGTATCCGTTTGAGAGCCTGCGCTTCACCAAATTGTCCAATGAGTCAAAAGTGGGAAATAAATCCACTGGTGTTGTTCCCCCAGCTCTCTGGTTAAAATGCTCCGGAAATCACAGCAGCAAACTGGGTTAACACACAAAAACCCAACAAAAAAGAGTGCACCTAATAAGAGCTAGAAATAATCATGTTGAAATTGTTAAGAAATAGAGCTGGATGTAGTTGTCTAATTACCATGAGTCACCAAGAGAGAGGGGTAAAGTAAGGGGAATGGAATGATCAAATAGGGACATTTTGCCAAACTTCATTTGGTGGTAGTCACAGAAAGGGTGATGGCTGATTTGGCATGAGGACATCATCTACTGAGAAGAATTGATAAAGAGAACTCAGAGAAAGATCTGGGTTATTCCTCAGCAAATCTCAAAGGAATCTGACTCAGAGCAGAGCTCCGCAACGAAGGAAGGATTTCACTGGCCAGGACAACTCCTTCCCCTCCCTTACTCTCTCTCGCTCAGCTATTTTAATCAAGTTTTGCATTTTAAATATTTTCATTCATTTCATCATTTTAATCAAAGTAGTAGACACTAGACCTATTTCTATTTTTAGGTTTTGTTAGTTGAACAACCTCAAAGGTTCTTATAGGTTGCTCTTGCCAGAGAAATTAACTTATCCGTGAGGAGTATTTTCCTAGCAACCATACCAGGTGCACTGATCAATGAGAAGAGAGCTGTCATTAACGGGCATAGCTGAGGTGGTATTTGGCTCTAGGGCTATTCAGTCAAGTAAGCAGGGTAGGCGTCTGGAAGACAGTTAGAAGCTAGTCAAAGCTCTTCAGAACCAGCATAAACAGTCCCCAGTTAAAGCTAATAGGGTAATGCCCATGGTCTTAGAGGATTTGCGTTTCGTTGGGCTGGATTAACACATCTAAATCTGAGGCCATGGTTCCGCACCATTGTTCCGAATCACATTGTGATGAAAGAGAGCTGAGCCGGAAGGCAAAGTGTTCCAGGAACATCCAGCTGGGAGGAGGCCTCGAGTAAGAGCCAGGACTAGTTGGAGAGAATGTATCTCCACACTGGCCTGCTAACTTCTCTGGATCCGCCAGCCAGAGCTGGTTAATGTGGTTTGGGAAAGGGAGGTTTGGGGTCCCCTGCTAGAGCTGCTGCCCCCACAACCCTACCACGGGTAAGCTAATTGATGGATAGATGGTAAACTACACTCACCTAAAGGATTATTAGGAACACATGTTCAATTTCTCATTAATGCAATTATCTAATCAACCAATCACATGGCAGTTGCTTCAATGCATTTAGGGGTGTGGTCCTGGTCAAGACAATCTCCTGAACTCCAAACTGAATGTCAAAATGGGAAAGAAAGGTCATTTAAGCAATTTTGAGCTTGGCATGGTTGTTGGTGCCAGACGGGCCGGTCTGAGTATTTCACAATCTGCTGAGTTACTGGGATTTTCACGCACAACCATTTCTAGGGTTTACAAAGAATGGTGTGAAAAGGGAAAAACATCCAGTATGCGGCAGTCCTGTGGGCGAATATGCCTTGTTGATGCTAGAGGTCAGAGGAGAATGGGCCGACCGATTCAAGCTGATAGAAGAGCAACTTTGACTGAAATAACCACTCGTTACAACCGAGGTATGCAGCAAAGCATTTGTGAAGCCACAACACGCACGACCTTGAGGCGGATGGGCTACAACAGCAGAAACCCCACCGGGTACCACTCATCTCCACTACAAATAGGAAAAAGAGGCTACAATTTGCAAGAGCTCACCAAAATTGGACAGTTGAAGACTGGAAAAATGTTGCCTGGTCTGATGAGTCTCGATTTCTGGTGAGACATTCAGATGGTAGAGTCAGAATTTGGCGTAAACAGAATGAGAACATGGATCCATCATGCCTTGTTACCACTGTGCAGGCTGGTGGTGGTGGTGTAATGGTGTGGGGGATGTTTTCTTGGCACACTTTAGGCCCCTTAGTACCAATTGGGCATGGTTTAAATGCCACGGCCTACCTGAGCATTGTTTCTGACCATGTCCATCCCTTTATGGCCACCATGTACCCATCCTCTGATGGCTACTTCCAGCAGGATAATGCACCATGTCACAAAGCTCCAATCATTTCAAATTGGATTCTTGAACATGACAATGAGTTCACTGTACTAAAATGGCCCCCACAGTCACCAGATCTCAACCCAATAGAGCATCTTTGGGATGTGGTGGAACGGGAGCTTGGTGCCCTGGATGTGCATCCCACAAATGTCCATCAACTGCAAGATGCTATCCTATCAATATGGGCCAACATTTCTAAAGAATACTTTCAGCACCTTGTTGAATCAATGCCATGTAGAATTAAGGCAGTTCTGAAGGAGAAAGGGGGTCAAACACAGTATTAGTATGGTGTTCCTAATAATCCTTTAGGTGAGTGTATGTCCCGGTAATATAGCAAAGAAATGTCTTGAGTATCGCTAGTTCTTATTGTTCTTGTTGTTCTTGTTGTCTGTCCTAATATTTGCCAAGGGAATTCCATCTTTCACATTATTGATTGAGTTCTTATCCATTTTATAGTTTTAACTTGTTTTCTAGAAAATGGCTGTCAACAAATCTTTTTGGTATTTTAGTTGAAATTAACTGCTAAGGATCATCTGGAATCATCACAGTTGTCCATAATGTTTTGTGCGTGTTGCAGTGTTTCCTGCAGATGTCCAGCAGCTGTTGGTGATTAAAGAAAGGTTCCCCCCGAGTGGAGCCCCAGCCTGGACCAGGAGGACACAGAGCCCCTACACATAAAAGAGGAACAGGAGGAACTCCGGACCAGTCAGGAGAGAGAGCAGCTTCATGGGCTGGAGGAGGATGAGGTCACCAGGTTCCCATTTACTGCTGTTCCTGTGAAGAGTGAAGATGATGAGCGGAACCCTCAGTCTCCACAGCTTCATCGAACTCTAACTGAAGACTACAGAGAGGCAGAGCCTTCAAACAGCAGCTCAGCTACACAGACAGAAACCGATGGAGGATCAGAACCTGCCAGGAACCTTGATCCAGATAGTCATTTACACCCAAATACTGAAGAACATGCTTCAGACTCTTCAGACACTGAATTCAGTTATGATGAGTGGCAAAAACCTTTGTCAGATTCTGAAGCTGAAACTGAGGACAGTGACAATGGTTGGAAGGAGACCAGGGCACCCGAGTCAGATGATAATGCTCTGAGATATAAGCAAGCACCTGTAAGTGATGTGAGTTGTAGTGCTGGAGAAATGTCCTTCAGCTGCTTTGATTGTGGTAAACATTTTCACTACAAGGGGTCTCTTCAGAGACACATGATGTGTCATTTAGGAAAAAGGTTTAGAGGGAAGCAAAATGTAGATTCACACACGAGAGTGCACACAGGAGAGAAACCATTCGGTTGTGATGTTTGTGGGAAGAGATTTACGGTCCAGGGAAGTATTAAGAACACATGAGAGTCCACACAGGAAAGAAACCATTTGGTTGTGATGTTTGTGGGAAGAGATTTACACAACAAGGAAGTATTAAGAAGCACATGAGAGTCCACACAGGAGAGAAACCATTTGGTTGTGATGTTTGTGGGAAGAGATTTACAGTCCAGGGAAGTATTAAGACACACATGAGAGTCCACACAGGAGAGAAACCATTTGGTTGTGATGTTTGTGGGAAGAGATTTACACAACAAGGATGTTTTAAGAAACACATGAGAGTCCACACAGGAGAGAAACCATTTGGTTGTGATGTTTGTGGGAAGAGATTTAAAGTCCAGGGAAGTATTAAGACACACATGAGAGTCCACACAGGAGAGAAACCATTTGGTTGTGATGTTTGTGGGAAGAGATTTACAGTCCAGGGAAGTATTAAGACACACATGAGAGTCCACACAGGAGAGAAACCATTTGGTTGTGATGTTTGTGGCAAGAGATTTACAGTCCAGGGAAGTATTAAGAAACACATGAGAGTGCACACAGGAGAGAAACCATTTGGTTATGATGTTTGTGGGAAGAGATTTACGGTCCAGGGAAGTATTAAGAAACACATGAGAGTCCACACAGGAGAGAAACCATTTGGTTGTGATGTTTGTGGGAAGAGATTTACGGTCCAGGGAAGTATTAAGAAACACATGAGAGTGCACACAGGAGAGAAACCATTTGGTTGTGATGTTTGTGGGAAGAGATTTACAGTCCAGGGAAGTATTAAGAAACACATGAGAGTGCACACAGGAGAGAAACCATTTGGTTATGATGTTTGTGGGAAGAGATTTACGGTCCAGGGAAGTATTAAGAAACACATGAGAGTCCACACAGGAGAGAAACCATTTGGTTGTGATGTTTGTGGGAAGAGATTTACAGTCCAGGGAAGTATTAAGAAACACATGAGAGTGCACACAGGAGAGAAACCATTTGGTTGTGATGTTTGTGGGAAGAGATTTACGGTCCAGGGAAATCTGACGAGACATATGATTGCGCACACAGGATAGAAATTGTTTACCAAACATGTTGGTAAAGACCACAGCAGTTATCATTGTCTTTGGTTGTTTTGTTGTATTTTATTTTTGTCTTTCTTTTGTGTATATTTTAAAATATGTATAAAAGTCTTCTGGTTAAATGCTGCTTACTGCCTACTGAAGTTATTCAAACTAAGTTTTTTCAAATGTTCCCTTTATCAAAGTTGTTGGTAAAGGAGATGGAATCGTTATGGTATGAAGATAAGTGGCAGCAAACAATTCTGTGATGAAAGGAACAAAAAGAAACCAAAGACACGGCACGTCAGGGTAAACATTTGTTTTTAAAACGCACAGTTTGTGTAGGTGTAATTGTCTAATTAATATACTGTAAATTCAAAGTATGTGATGCAGTCATCTGAAATTCTGGATTGCATTGCAGTGTAATAGGTGGAAGGGAGACCTTTATAGTGCTTTCTTGGTTTGTTACTGAACCTTTGGCAACACTTTATTTTACAGGTCCCATTGTTTTCTGAAATTTCCTAGAAATAAGCTGATATGTAACTGTAAGCTCCTCAGAAGGTTCCTGGAAATGTATGATTGTTAATATAGGGAAAGTGGAGACAGTGTTTATTTGCCAAATCCAATAAATTGCTAATAAAACCTAGATCGTTTTTTTTTGTTGTTGTTTTTTGTCCACAGGGAAACGTACAGTTCTACGTGTACCTTGCACATGACAATCGCCATCGCATTACGTCGTTACGACGTTTTTAGCTAGCATGAATAAGAACTCTGGGCAATTTTTCCAAGGTGGAGGAGCTATTTCCACCAGGGAGATATCAAATATCACTGACAGCAGTTCTCACACTTCCTCAGAAGGAGGAAGAGCATTCTTTAGGGACGGTAGATCTGGTATGCATGGCCTCTCTGTCTTCCACATTCTCTCTGTAGTAACACTATGGAGTACAGATTAGACAAGCATTCATTATTTATTATATCACTTGAGTTTTAATTTTCTAGCAGCCCTTTGGCTGTGGATGTATGACGCTGTGAGCTTCAGTCCCATTGGATAACTGAGAAGCCGCCATCAGGAAGTATTTCTGTCACCGTGTTAAAGGTGTTATTTTAAATAAATAGTCAGCATTTATAACACAGAAATACTCCACAATACAACAATTTAATGTTATGTTAATTTCTCTTTATAATTAAATTTTTTAAATTATTATTCTATGTTTACAAAGATGATTTAAATTATGTAATAGAATCACAGGCTTTAAAATGCCTCTCGTTAGCAGAGATAGAGGTTTTTGGATTCAGGTTACAGCTGAAAGGGGCAATTTGAAGTGGAATGAAGCCCACTGACCGCAGACAGCCCAAAACAGGAGCCAAATGTTTCGACCCCCACTCATTGCTTTTCTTTTACCTTATAGTAACCTACGTTTGCAAAATTGCAGCGGTGAAAGAAGTACTAAGATATTTTGCAAAGCAATACCACAGTGTACATTTATTATGCTACAAGGAACAAACTAAAGGTCCACTGTAATATTCCGAGAATTTATTGAAAGTGGTGTTTAAAGACCTTACATAATGAATCATTATGTTTTTATTAACTTAGAATGAGCCATTTATATCTTACATTTGGACAAATGGAGCACTAACGTTACAAGTATTATTTAGTACGAACCAACAGCGTGTCGATCTTCATCGCCAAAGAAGCGTAAATATGATGAAGCCAGAAAAGTTGGTGACAGATATAGACAAATGATAGCAGAAATAAAGGATATAATTGTTGTGGATTTTCCCAGATGGAAGGAGCTGATGTGGGACACATGTTTTCAAAGCGGAGCTGAAGTTGTCTGTTTTCTGCTGGAGAGTTAATTGAGTTGCTCTAACTTTAGCGACACAAATGAAAACTGTTGTTTGATCGAGTTAGCTAGAAGCTGGCCATAATCACCGAGAAGTGACGTGTTTTCCCTGTCAATGTTTTGAAAAATATTGTTCTCCAGTGTGTGTCTTGGCTACGCTATATCGACAGAAATGTGCCTCTTACGTTCGTGAGACAATCAGCTAATTAGCAATAACACATAAAAGCTCAAATCAGCCAGCTAAACTTTTACTGCCCTGGTAGAAAAACTACACAGTTGGATTGTAATTTCATGCAACTTTATTCTCCAGTGCTTTGGCTTTGTGAACGTAAATGTGTCGGTTACACTCATAGATAATCTGCTGATTAACTGGCAATAAAAATTTGTCTACAGCATGGAAGTTCCGATCAGCCAGCTAAACTTTTACTGCCCTGGAAAAAGAAATATGGATTGTATTTATTAACAGGGTGTCTTTAACTTTGCTACGTGGACAGAAAGGTGCCCCAGGGCCAGCCCTGATGTGCCGGTTACGAGACAATCAGCTGATTAATTGACAATAAAACGGTAACTTACAGCACGGAAATTCTGATCAGCCAGTTTAACGTCACATTTTACTGCCCTGGTGGAAAACACTTTACCGCTAACAGCGTTATGATAACAAGACCTTGTGGAGAGGAGCCTTGATCCGCACCTGCTGTTAGGCTTCGTCTGTAGGACGGAGACAGAAGTGGTGACTAACTTAGTTTAATGTCAAAAATACTTAAAGGTGCGGGGAAGATACCTGTTGCCATACCTGTTACCCCGGAGTGTAGGTGGGGGCCGGGCGGCAACGACGGTTGGCCTGCCTCTGCATGGTGCTGGATGTGTGGATCAGGGCTGCCCTAGTCCTCCTCCACACCCTGAAGCAGCGCCGCCTGCGAGCCTGGATAGTAGTTTTCTCTGGACCCCTGCCAAATCTGACCAGTGATGACATGTATAGCCGCATGTCGTCATTCCGCTGCTGGTTGTCGAGGTGGTGTCCAGCAAACGATGTGGGCTTTGTAGATCATTGGCAGACTTTCTGGGGAAGACCTGGTCTGATCCGGAGAGACGGCATCCATCCCACTTGGGAAGGAGCAGCTCTCATTTCTAGAAATCTGGCCAAGTTTATTAGTGGACCAAATCCATGACAACCCAGAGTTGAGACCAGGAGGCAGAGTCGCAGTCTAACACACTTCTCTGCTCCTCCATTTCAGGAGTTACTTAGTGAAAATCCTATAGTGACGGTGTCTGTCCCCCGACCATCGAAATTATTTAAAAAGGTAAACAGAAGAGGAGCTGTGCATAAAAACCTCATAAAAATTAAAACCACAAGAGCAATAGTGCAAACGAATAGGAGAGTTAAATGTGGACTCTTAAACATCAGATCTCTCTCTTCTAAAGGTGTACTAGTAAATGAACTAATATCAGATTATGATATTGATTTATTTTGTCTTACTGAAACCTGGCTGGGTGATGGAGAATATGTTAGCCTAAATGAATCCACCCCTCCTAGTCATATTAATACTCACATTCCTCGAGGCACAGGCCGAGGAGGTGGAGTTGCAGCTATCTTCGACTCTAGCCTAATAATCAGCTCTAAACCTAAACTAAATTATAACTCATTTGAAAGCCTTGTTCTTGGTCTTTCACACCAAAGTTGGAAATCACTGCAACCAATTCTCTTCGTTATAGTGTACCGAGCAACTGGCCCGTATTTTAATTCTTATCTGAATTTGCAGAGTTTTCGTCAACTTTAGTCCTTAAAAACGGTCAAAGTTATTATTGTAGGGGATTTTAATATTCATGTGGACGTTGAGAATGACAGCTTTAGTACTGCGTTTATCTCTCTGTTAGATTCCATTGGCTTCTCTCAGAGTGTTCATGAACCGACTCACTGTTTTAACCACACCCTCGACCTTGTTTTGGTGTATGGTATTGAAATTGAACATTTAGTGGTGTTCCCACAGAATCCCTCTTTATCCGACCACTGTTTGATAACTTTTGAGTTTGTATTGCTGAACTACACGCGATTGGGCAAAAATTTCTATACAAGATGTCTGTCTGATGGTGCTGTAGCTAAATTTAAGGATGCGATTCCATCAGCTCTAAATACTTTATCTAGTCACAAAGTAACGGAGGACTCCTATGCTAATTTCAGTCCCTCCCAAATCGATCATCTTGTTGATAGTGCTGCAGGCTCGCCGCGAATGACACTCGACTCTGTAGCCCTCTAAAAAAGAAAATACTAAAACAAAGACAGTTAGCTCCATGGTATAATACTGAAACTCGCAAATTAAAGCAAATATTGCGGAAACTTGAGAGGAATTGGCGTTCCACCAAAGTGGAAAATTCTCGTTTAATTTGGCAAGATAGTCTTAAAACTTATAGGAAGGCCCTCCGTAATGCTAGAGTAGCGTACTACTCGTCATTAATAGAGGAAAATAGGAACAACCCAAAGTTTCTTTTCAGCACTGTAGCCAGGCTGACAGAGAGTCACAGCTCTATTGAGCCAAGTATTCCCATAGCTCTCAGTAGTTACGACTTCCTGAGCTTCTTTAATGATAAAATTCTAGCTATTAGAGACAAAATTGGCACCGACTTATCTCTTAACTCAGGAACCTTAGAAACAGCTGTAGAACCAGATACATGTTTAGACTGTTTTGCTTCACTCAATCTTTACCAACTAACTTCAATAATTTCTTCATCTAAACCATCAACCTGCCTCTTAGACCCCATCCCGACTAGGTTGCTTAAAGATGTTTTACCCTTAGTCAGCACCTCTATACTAGATATGATCAATCTATCTCTATCAACAGGCTATGTACCACAGTACTTTAAAGTAGCTGTAATTAAACCTCTTCTGAAAAAGCCCAAACTTGATCTGGATGTTTTAGCCAACTATAGACCTATATCTAACCTTCCATTTCTCTCTAAGGTTCTGGAGAAAGCAGTTGCTAAACAGCTGTGTGACTTTCTACAGAGCAATAGTTTATTTGAGGATTTTCAGTCAGGATTTAGAGCTCATCATAGCACAGAGACAGCACTGGTGAAAATTACTAACGACTAACTTATTGCATCAGACAAAGGACTCTGCATTTGATACCATTGACCATCAGATCCTATTGCAGAGACTGGAATATTTCATTGGCATTAAAGGAACCGCTCTAAGCTCGTTTAAGTCCTATTTATCAGATCGATTTCAGTTTGTACATGTTAACGAT